ATGGCAGGAGCAGAAGGAAAAGTAAGATTAGAAAATACAACATCTGAAAAGGACATAGGAGTTTTGGTTGATAAGGACTTAATTTTTTCATCACATATACAGCAATCGATAAGTAAGGCAAATAATATTGTTGGCCGCAATCGAAGATGCTTTGTATACTTGGATAATATAACTTTTATACAACTGTTTAAAGCATTAGTTCGCCCGCATTTGGAATACGCAGCAAGTGCGTGGAGCCCACACAAAATGAAAGACATTGAATCAGTTGAGAGAGTACAAAGAAGGGTGACAAATATAATTCCTGGTCTAAAGGTTTTATCATATATCGACCGTTTGAAGAAGCTGAGGATTCCAACACTTACGCACAGGAGATTGCGGGGAGATATCATAAATGTGTATAAAATAAATAACAATTTTCATGATGATGAAGTTACCACCGGGATATTTGAACACCATAAAGGAGCCAGAACGAGAGTCAACTCGCAGAAATTACAGAAAAAAATATTGTAGACTGGATATTCGCAAATACTCCTTTGGACTCAGAATTGTCGATGTGTGGAACAGCCTATCGGATTCGGTGATACAAGCAAAAACTATCAGAGACTTCGAAATTAATTTGGACTACCACTGGAAATGCTTAAAACTAAAATTTAACCATCTTGCTAGTTTCAAATCCTTTACCGGAAGTGACCATTAATTATATATGTCTTTTTCTAATTTAACGATATGGATCTAGAGGCACAAGAATGCCTGCGTCATTTATCAATCATATCATATATTAAGGTGAAACAAATTAGTGTTGTAGTAAATATTTGCTGTAGGCATGGGAAATACAAGTCAAAACATACCGTTTGTCTAGCATCGTTGCTTACTGTTACCCATTACTTCCGGGTTTTGATTATTCACATACACGCTTGAAATAAAACATATAGAATGCAAGCGCATTACTGATCATGAATACTCGAGCGGGAGAGTATAAAAAGAGAGCCGGACAGCGCGAGAGGGCACTTCATTCTCAACTGTCGGGACGATAACATCTCCTGAACCTACCGACAACAGCGCTTAGAACACAGAGTGTTTGGCAGTCTATGCTGATAGACACACATAGGCGTTAGAGTTAGCGACTAGGCCTACAGGTTGTCATTGAACATGTTCCGGTGTTGCATGTTTTATTTATGTCAATTTTTCACCTTATGTACTATGTAACATGTATTTTATTTATCATGCTTTGTATACATTTGTGCAAATCTTTCCTGAATAAATTTATTATTATTATTAAAGGGAATCGTGAAAACAGGGCTGATGCTATATCTGATGACGAGATTGACAAATTATACGAATCTGGACAGCTAGGCTGTAGTAATGCCGAAAGTTTGCTTAGAACAATTTGGTTGAACAATACGGTATATTTTGGAATGCGTGGCGTTACCGAACACCGCAATGCAATGGGGTGATGTGAAATTATTTAAAGATTCTGAAAGTAATGAATATCTTGAGTTCCGAGAGCGTCAGACCAAAACTAGACCGGGTTCCAACCCCAAAAATGTTAGGGAAGTTCCTCCCAACAACCCATCACGATGCCCTGTCGCCACTTATAAAACCTGCCAAGTACATCGCCCGCTTACGTACTGTAACCCTGAAGTCTCCTACTATATCGCAACTAATACAAACTCTGACAAATCAAGCAAGTGGTATAAGTCTCAACCAGTTGGCGTTAACAAACTAGGGACTTCTGTGAAGACTATGGCAGAGAATGCAGGTAAATGAGATTGAAATGTAAACAAAACCCAGTCAGCAACCACGATAAGATTGGCGGTCTTTTGGTCAGGGACTAGAGATAGCAATTAGGTGATGTTGGTGCCCGCCGACTGGCGCGGTATTTAATGGTGTAGTCAACAGTCAACTCTAGACCGGCGGTCAGTAGAGTCCAGAAACTATATGAGTGACTAGTGGTCGGCGACTAGTCAAATGTTGAGGCGATAATTATTGACTGGTGATCAGTAATACTTGTAGTTTAAACGAAATCGTTGACAAATAACACGACTCTCGGTTAGACAAGACACAGACATTGTATACATGTGTGTGAACAGGTGTGTGAATGTATATACAGTTCCATCTGTGAATTTAGTGACTAAGTGTCAGCGGTCAGACAGACCGTCAGTCTGAAGTCACAGTTTGTTGTTTCAATAACGTCTATGTAAAATTGATGTTACAAACGCTACCAAATAGTAACGTATAGAGTATAAATGTTTCTACCATTCTACTTTAATTTATCCCAATCTAGGCCATTGTGTAAATATGGCGGGTGTTTGATAAATATAAGTGATATTCCACTCGTGGAATATGGCCTTCCGGATACATGATTGGTGAACTTTGACCCGAACTAGTTTTTTCACTCGCGTGATTTGTTCCACGTGCGATTTGTTTAATATTGTCTGCTGTCAACATGCCTGAACTGGATAGGCTTTAGGTGAATGTTATGGATGTTATCCGGTCTAAACAAAAAAAAAAAAACAAAAACAAAAAATACTGAAACGTGAGGGCAAAGGACCCCAACGGAAATAAGCGTATATTATTACGCTTTTTGGGCTATCCTTGGATAGATTTGTTTAACATATATCAGCTGTCTTTATTGTGATTTAATGTTCCGGTGTTACATGTTTTATTTATGTCAATTTTTCACCTTATGTACTTGTTACATGTATTTTATTTATCATGCTTTGTTTACATTTGTGCAAATCTTTCCTGAATAAATTTATTATTATTATTAAAGGGAATCGTGAAAACAGGGCTGATGCTATATCTGATGACGAGATTGACAAATTATACGAATCTGGACAGCTAGGCTGTAGTAATGCCGAAAGTTTGCTTAGAACAATTTGGTTGAACAATACGGTATATTTTGGAATGCGTGGCGTTACCGAACACCGCAATGCAATGGGGTGATGTGAAATTATTTAAAGATTCTGAAAGTAATGAATATCTTGAGTTCCGAGAGCGTCAGACCAAAACTAGACCGGGTTCCAACCCCAAAAATGTTAGGGAAGTTCCTCCCGACAACCCATCACGATGCCCTGTCGCGCTTATAAAACCTGCCAAGTACATCGCCCGCTTACGTACTGTAACCCTGAAGTCTCCTACTATATCGCAACTAATGCAAACTCTGACAATCAAGCAAGTGGTATAAGTCTCAACCAGTTGGCGTTAACAAACTAGGGACTTTTATGAAGACTATGGCAGAGAATGCAGGTAAATGAGATTGAAATGTAAACAAAACCCAGTGGTAGCCTGTATGTTTACAAATGCTTATACTCCGCCCCTTTTACGTGTGCTTACGTCATTGATACATTGTAGTACAATGCAATTGTTATGTTGCACTTGCTTACATCTATGCCTAACATTGTAGCCTTTTTCATAATTTTAGTTGATTGAAGTCAAAATTGATCTTTTGAACACAATTCCAGCCCAAAGTAATATTTCTTTAATTATTTCGGATGTCGGAATAGTGCATATATAGGCCTAGATTAAGTTGCTTTCAGTTCATATTCAGGGTTTAGATTTTTGCTTGGTTTTTTTTATATAACCAGGTCTGATGAACAAGTCTGGGAGTAACAGTAACGGAAAAGGACTGACAAACCATAGTGCCAGGAAGTACCTTGTACAAAAACTCAATGACAAAAGATTACCTCCAAATCAGATTATGCAGATACAAACTATTTTCACATTGAAATATCTCAACTTGATCATTAGGACCTATAATCGTTAAGAGTAACTGAACACTTACCTTGTTTAAAGAAATTAAATCCCAAACAGTTTAACACTAATATAAATTTATAAAAAATCTCCTGCTTTCATAATACAGGGCAATGCATCACTGTCAGGCTTAGAGTAGACAATAACTAGGTATCTACTTCCATTGGTCCTATAAAACGTTGCCTAATTATGTAATTCTCTGCATCCTCCAGATTTCCGGGCACAGGAATATCCAGAGTATCAACAGTTACTCAACTTTAAACACAAACCAGCACCGGACGATTTCAAGAGCGATATCGTCATGCTTGGATCATGTTGGTGAAAGGCCTTTCGCTAGAATTAATAGATCTAGCACATCTAGTGCAAGCGAAGTCATCGTCAGACCTCCAAATCCTGAATCAACTGTGTCTGCAAATCCCATCGGTGCCCTTACTTCAGTATTTGCAGGTCCTACTCACGTTGGTTCATTCACAATAAACCTTAACAACACAAACGTCTATAAACGTCCCAGACCAAGGGTGCTGTACTCTGATTCTGACAGCGATTGAGTTTGAAGTTTCCGGCGGGAACCAGATGACACCACTATATGTGTCTGTATAAAAGTGCGCCTAATATAGTCCGCGATTTTCTACGATTATATAGACAGTTCAAGTTTATAAGACAATTAATCGTCATTGTGTTATTATGTATAAACTTCAAAATTGTGAAAATAATAAAGAAATAAATTATCTATCATCACATATTTTTTTGAATATCAATTGGAGCCTTTTCACTCCCAGTGATATCTCTACGCCATATTTGCATATGTCAGCAATTTTTTACGCACGTGTACATGTGTTGGTCTTCGCCTACCGCCTGTGATCTCGAAATAAGAATGGTAGAAACAGATAACACAACGAGTGGTTGTTGGATACGGCGTTTATTTCACTCGAGTTAGTTGTTCTTTAAAAGTTACAAAAGACACGTGCTTTAGCGAGAGTCTTTTGTAACTTTTAAAAAATAACTAACAACGTCTCGAGTGAAATAAACGCTGTATCCAACAACCACTCGTTGTGTAATCTATGTATATATTGGCATTTGTAGGCTACGGTAGATATCCGACAAATACGTTTACCGGGATTTCTCTCTACGAGAGTGACGGATCCAGATAGAAACGTCACAGTCTTAACATCAAGGTAACTTAATGTTGTTAGTGCCATGTATTTCCCACTGTCAGCTTGTACATGATTGTCAATCGTTTATCTTACCGACAGCTAGGGTCCGCGTCAGGTGATCAAGGCCTGCCTTGGCTATACAGTAGGCGACAGCTGTAGGGAACTGTGGAAACAACGCTAGGAATGACCCAGGGCAGATAATTTCTAAAAACTTTCACTTATCCTTCATTAAGTTCCCGAAATTAGAAGTTAGAAACATAGCGAATGCTGTATTGATTGTATTCTGTTCGAATATCCTTGATGATAAAGTTGATATGCTGTGACATTTTAAATGAAATATATGCTACCTGTACAACTCTATTGAAATACACATTTGATACCGTCTAAACATTTAAATGAAATACACAGTATATACTGTGTGTACGTATGAAATGAAAGATATTTAAAACATTCTATATTTTTATACATTTTTAATGATCATCAGTATGAAATGAAACATTTGTCGTTCTGAAGCATTTCTAGACTTCAGTGCAAGATAAACTGGATTGCTGATGATGTTACTAAGTACATGTCGTGGTAAGAGATACTAGATTGATGGATGATGTTACTAAGTACATGTCGTGGTAAGAGATACTAGATTGATGGATGATGTTACTAAGTACCTGTCGTGGTAAGAGATAATGGATTAATGACGATGTTACTAAGTACCTAAGTACCTGTCGTGGTAAGAGATACTGGATTGATGGATGATGTTACTAAGTACCTGTCGTGGTAAGAGATAATGGATTAATGACGATGTTACTAAGTACCTAAGTACCTGTCGTGGTAAGAGATACTGGATTGATGGATGATGTTACTAAGTACCTGTCTTGGTAAGAGATACTGGATTGATGGATGATGTTACTAAGTACATGTGGTAAGAGATACTGAATTGATGGATATTGTTACTAAGTACCTGTCGTGGTAAGATATACTGGATTGATGGATGATGTTACTAAGTACTGTCGTGGTAAGAGATACTGGATTAATGACGATGTTTCTAAGTACTGTCGTGGTAAGAGATACTGGATTGATGACGATGTTTCTAAGTACTGTCATGGTAAGAGATACTGGATTAATGACGATGTTACTAAATACTATCGTGGTAAGAGATTCTGGATTGATGGATGATGTTACTAAGTACATGTGGTAAGAGATACTGAATTGATGGATATTGTTACTAAGTACCTGTCGTGGTAAGATATACTGGATTGATGGATGATGTTACTAAGTACTGTCGTGGTAAGAGATACTGGATTAATGACGATGTTTCTAAGTACTGTCGTGGTAAGAGATACTGGATTGATGACGATGTTTCTAAGTACTGTCATGGTAAGAGATACTGGATTAATGACGATGTTACTAAATACTATCGTGGTAAGAGATTCTGGATTGATGGATGATGTTACTAAGTACATGTGGTAAGAGATACTGAATTGATGGATATTGTTACTAAGTACCTGTCGTGGTAAGAGATACTGGATTGATGGATGATGTTATTAAGTACCTGTCGTGGTAAGAGATAATGGATTAATGACGATGTTACTAAGTATCTGTCTTGGTAAGAGATACTGGATTGATGGATGATGTTACTAAGTACTTGTCGTGGTAAGAGATACTGGATTAATGACGATGTTACTAAGTACCTGTCGTGGTAAGAGATACTGGATTAATGACGATGTTACTAAGTACTATCGTGGTAAGATATTCTGGATTGATGGATGATGTTACTAAGTACTATCGTGGTAAGAGATTCTGGATTGATGGATGATGTTACTAAGTACTTGTCGTGGTAAGAGATACTGAATTGATGGATATTGTTACTAAGTACCTGTCGTGGTAAGATATACTGGATTGATGGATATTGTTACTAAGTAAGTGTCGTGGCAAGAGATACTGGGTTGATGACGATGTTACTATGTACCTGTCTTGGTAAGATATACTGGATTGATGGATGATGTTATTAAGTACCTGTCGTGGTAAAAGATACTGGATTGATGACGATGTTACTAAGTACCTGTTGTGGTAATAGATATTGGATTGATGACGATGTTGCTAAGAATTGAGCACGTGCCCTGACATCAGAATGTTGATGTATGACTTACCGCCTTGGTGGAAGAGATACTGGATATGTTGACGATGTTACCTGGGAGGATTACAGAGCACCATTTACAATAATAAATAAAATCAGGAGACTACAACCAACCTCTTCTCTATCTTTCATTGCTATTGTCAAAATATTTAGTTTGGCTTGTCGTTTACATCAATGTGAAAATTCATGAATATATGCCCGAGATGAGATTAATATTTTAGCATATTTGAATAATGCAGAATTGTCTTTAAATTATACCTGGATGAATTAATTTCGAAATCCATACCTGATTCTATCGGATATTGCACGTAGAAAAAGAACTTGAGATTTTGAGAAATAGAAGAAAAGAAAATATCTTGTGTCTTATATTTCCATTAAATCTCTATTTACCAAAATTTGTCACCGCTAACCAGGGAAACAAGTACAAACTTTAAAATAATGATAAAATTAGAATAATCTAGTATGTAAGAAAGCGTGTTATCTAGGATGCAGCTCTCGCTTTGATGCAGTTTAGTTCATTATTTGACCCAAGTGTATCTAACTCAAATTTGAATTTAAATGTGCTACCAACTTGTGTTATCGTAAGTCGTGATTGGATGTTCTCTGGGATACTCACCTTGTGTTTTAATCAAGTGTGGTATGCATAACTGACTGAGGTAGAAAGGAGCTCGTAAATTAGTCCTCACAGTCTGGTCAAACATATCTAAAGTTGTTTCCATTATAGACCGGTATACACTACTTCCCGCATTATTTACCTGTAACCAACGTGTGTTTCAGAAATGTAAGTGATTTTTTGAGATTGCTAAAGTGTTACAACAGCGTAGCACATTATCGATACCAAAACATAGTATATGTAAAATATCAACGAATTTTAACTGTAGTGTGGTATACTGTAATTGTAGTGTAGTATATTGTAACTGTGGTGTAGTATATTGTAACTGTAGTGTGGTATATTGTAACTGTAGTGTGGTATATTGTTACTGTAGTGTGGTATATTGTAACGGTAGTGTAGTATATTGTAACTGTATTGTGGTATATTGTAACTAGTGTGGTATATTGTAACTGTATTGTGGTATATTGTAATTAGTGTGGTATATTGTAACTGTAGTGTAGTATATTGCAACTGTAGAGTGGTATATTGTAACGTATATTGTAATTGTAGTGTAGTATATTGTAACTGTAGTCTGGTATATTGTAACTGTAGTGTAGTATATTGTAACTGTACTGTGGTACATTGTAACTGTAGTGTAGCATATTGCAACTGTAGAGAAGTATATTGTAACTACAGTATAGTGTATTGTAACTGTAGTGTGCTATATTGTAACTGTGGTATGGTATATTGTAATTGTCGTGTGTTATATTGTAATTGTAGTGTAGTATATTGTAACTGTAGTGTGGTATATTGTAAATGTATTGTGGTATATTGTAACGTATATTGTAACTGTATTTTTGTATATTGTAACTGTAGTGCAGTATATTGTTACTGTAGTGTGGAATATTGTAACTGTAGTATTGAGTATTGTAACTGTAGTGTGGTATATTGTAACGGAAGTGTAGTATATTGTAACTGTAGTATTGTATATTGTAAATGTAGCGTGGTATATTGTAACGGTAGTGTAGTATATTGTGACTGTGATGTTGTATATTGTAACTGTAGTGTAACATATTGTAACTGTAGTGTAGTATATTGTAACTGTAGAGTGGTATACTGTAATTGTAGTGTATTATATTGTAACTGTAGTGTGGTATATTGTAACGTATATTGTAATTGTAGTGTAGTATATTGTAACTGTAGTGTAGTATATTGTTACTGTAGTGTGGTATATTGTAACTGTAGTATTGTATATTGTAACTGTAGTGTGGTATATTGTAATTGTAGTGTGTTGTATTGTAACTGTAGTATTGTTTATTGTAACTCTAGTGTGGTATATTGTAGTGTGGTATATTGTAACTGTAGTGTGGTATATTGTAATTGTAGTGTGGTATATTACAATTTTAGTGTGGTATATTGTAATTGTAGTGTGGTATATTGTAACTGTAGTGTAGTATATTGTAACTTTAGTGTGGTATATTGTAAATGTATTGTGGTAAAATGTAACGTATATTGTAACTGTATTTGTGTATATTGTAACTGTAGTGTAGTATATTGTTACTGTAGTGTGGTATATTGTAACTGTAGTATTGTATATTGTAACTATAGTGAGGTATATTGTAACTGTAGTTTGGTATATTGTATCGGTAGTGTGGTATATTGTAACTGTGGTGTGGTATATTGTAACGTATATTGTAATTGTAGTGTAGTATATTGTAACTGTAGTGTGGTATATTGTAACTGTAGTGCGGTATATTGTAATTGTAGTGTGGTATATTGTAGTGTGGTATATTGTAACTGTAGTGTAGTATATTGTAATTGTAGTGTAATATATTGTAACTGTAGTGTGGTATATTGTAACGTATATTGTAATTGTAGTGTGGTATATTGTAACTGTAGTGTGGTATATTGTAACTGTATTGTTGTATATTGTAACTGTAGTGTAGTATATTGTTATTGTAGTGTAGTATATTGTAACTATAGTGTGGTATATTGTAGTATGGAATATAGTAACTGTATTGTGGTATATTGTAACTGTAGTGTAGTATATTGTTATTGTAGTGTAGTATATTGTAACTGTAGTGTGCTATATTGTAATTGTAGTGTGGTATATTGTAGTGTGGTATATTGTAACGTATATTGTTACTGTAGTGTGGTATATTGTAACTGTAGTGTAGTATATTGTAACTGTAGTGTGGTATATTGTAATTGTAGTGTGGTATATTGTAACTGTAGTTTGGTATATTGTAACGGTAGTATGGTATATTGTAACTGTAGTGTGGTGTATTTTAAATATATTGTGGTATATTGTAACGTATATTGTAACGTATATTGTAACTGTATTGTAGTATATTGTAACTGTAGTGTAGTATGTTGTAACTGTGGTGTGGTATATTTTAACGTATATTGCAATTGTAGTGTAGTATATTGTAACTGTAGTGTGGTATATGGTATTTGTAGTGTAGTATATTGTAATTGTAGTGTGGTATATTGTAACTGTAGTGTAATATATTGTAACTGTAGTGTGGTATATTGTAATTGTAGTGTGTTGTATTGTAACTGTAGTATTGTTTATTGTAACTCTAGTGTGGTATATTGTAGTGTGGTATATTGTAACTGTAGTGTGGTATATTGTAATTGTAGTGTGGTATATTGCAATTCTAGTGTGGTATATTGTAAAGGTAGTGTGGTATATTGTAACTGTAGTGTAGTATATTGTAATTGTAGTGTGTTAAATTGTAACTGTGATGTTGTATATTGTAACTGTAGTGTAACATATTGTAACTGTAGTATAGTATATTGTAAGTGTAGTGTGGTATATTGTAATTGTAGTGTGATATACTGTAATTGTAGTGTGGTATATTGTAATTGTAGTGTGGTATATTGTAACTGTAGTGAAATATATTGTAACGTATATTGTAACTGTATTGTGGTATATTGTAACTGTAGTGCAATATATTGTAACTGAATTGTGGTATATTGTAACTGCAGTGTAGTATATTGTAACGTAGTGTAGTATAATGTAATTGTAGTGTGGAACATTGAAACTGTAGTGTGGTATATTGTAACTATAGTGTGGTATATTTTAACTGTATTGTGGTATATTGTAACTGTAGTGTGGTATATTGTAACTGTAGTGTAGTATATTATAATTGTAGTGTAATACATTGTAACTGTAGTGTAGTGTATTGTAAATGTATTGTGGTATATTGTAACGTATATTGTAACTGTATTGTGGTATATTGTAACTGTAGTGTAGTCTGTTGTAACTGTGGTGTGGTATATTGTAACGTATATTGTAATTGTAGTGTAGTATATTGTAACTGTAGTGTGGTATATTGTAACTGTAGTGTGGTATATTGTAACTGTAGTGTGGTATATTATAATTGTAGTGTGGTATATTGTAACTGTGTAGTATATTGTAACTGTAGTATATTGTAACTGTAGTGTGGTATATTGTAATTGTAGTGTGGTATATTGTAGTCTGGTATATTGTAACTGTAGTGTGGTATATTGTAAATGTAGTGAGGTATATTGTAACTGTAGTGTAGTATATTGTAACTGTAGTGTAGTATATTTTAACTGTAGTGTGGTATATTATAATTGCAGTGTGGTATATTGTAATTGTAGTGTGGTATATTGTAACTGTAGTGTGGTATATTGTAACTGTAGTGAAATATATTGTAACGTATATTGTAACTGTATTGTGGTATATTGTAACTGTAGTGTAGTATATTGTAACTGTAGTGTAGTATAATGTAATAGTAGTGTGGAACATTGTAACTATAGTGTGGTATATTGTAACTGTAGCGTGGTATATTGTACCTGTATTGTGGTATATTGTAAAATATATTGTAAATGTAGTGAGGTATATTGTAACTGTAGTGTAGTATATTGTAACTGTAGTGTAGTATATTGTAATTGTAGTGTGGTATGTTGTAATTGTAGTGTGGTATATAGTACCTGTAGTGTAATATATTGTAACTGTATTGTGGTATATTGTAACTGTAGTGTAGTATAATGTAACGTAGTGTAGTATAATGTAATTGTAGTGTGGAACATTGTAACTGTAGTGTGGTATATTGTAACTGATATTGTAATTGTAGTGTAGTATATTGTAACTTTAGTGTGGTATATTGTAACTGTATTGTTGTATATTGTAACTGTAGTGTAGTATATTGTTATTGTAGTGTAGTATATTGTAACTGTAGTGTGGTATATTGTAGTATGGAATATAGTAACTGTAGTGTGGTATATTGTAATTGTAGTGTAGTATATTGTAACTGTAGTGTGGTATATTGTAGTATGGAATATTGTAACTGTAGTGTGCTATATTGTAATTGTAGTGTGGTATATTGTAGTGTGGTATATTGTAACGTATATTGTTACTGTAGTGTGGTATATTGTAACTGTAGTGTAGTATATTGTAACTGTAGTGTGGTATATTGCAATTGTAGTGTGGTATATTGTAACTGTAGTTTGGTATATTGTAACGGTAGTATGGTATATCGTAACTGTAGTGTGGTGTATTTTAAATATATTGTGGTATATTGTAAAGTATATTGTAACTGTATTGTAGTATATTGTAACTGTAGTGTAGTATGTTGTAACTGTGGTGTGGTATATTTTAACGTATATTGCAATTGTAGTGTAGTATATTGTAACTGTAGTGAAATATATTGTAACGTATATTGTAACTGTATTGTGGTATATTGTAACTGTAGTGTAATATATTGTAACTGAATTGTGGTATATTGTAACTGCAGTGTAGTATATTGTAACGTAGTGTAGTATAATGTAATTGTAGTGTGGAACATTGTAACTGTAGTGTGGTATATTGTAACTATAGTGTGGTATATTTTAACTGTATTGTGGTATATTGTAACTGTAGTGTGGTATATTGTAACTGTAGTGTAGTATATTATAATTGTAGTGTAATACATTGTAACTGTAGTGTAGTGTATTGTAAATGTATTGTGGTATATTGTAACGTATATTGTAACTGTATTGTGGTATATTGTAACTGTAGTGTAGTCTGTTGTAACTGTGGTGTGGTATATTGTAACGTATATTGTAATTGTAGTGTAGTATATTGTAACTGTAGTGTGGTATATTGTAACTGTAGTGTAGTATATTGTAACTGTAGTGTGGTATATTGTAACT